CCTCGAAATTACTCTCTGGAGCAGTTAACGTCCCCTTTGAGGATCAGTAGATGGTGGAAGTAAGCCATGAATACGTATCTTGAGGAGAGAGAGAGAGAGAGAGAGAGAGAGAGAGAGAGAGAGAATTAGGATGGTAGAGACGGTGTGGTCTCAGCAATGTACCTCCACAAATTCAGTGAAATACACTAATCTGTATAGCACAGAGAGTCGGATCAACCAGCTTCTGTGATCCAACCATGTTTGTTCTCGCCTGTTTGTGGTAGCTGTAATTGGGAATTAGCTCCTGACCTAGCCTACTTACTACATTCAACCTCTTTCAAAAACTTCACACGCCTCGTAGACTTACCTATCCTTATGACTGTATGTATAAACGGCTTAAATTGCTTCCTTATCTAGGTAATTTCACTTCGTTACCTGTGGCTGACGGTGGGTATATCATGTGTGTGTGTGTGTGTGTGTGTATTCACCTACGTTTAGTTGCAGTGGTCGATCCTTAGCTCCTGACCTCGCCTCTTAATGTGCTGCTTGCCAGAATCACTCTCTCTTAGCCTCGTAAACCTTGTCTTACCTGTTCTTAAAGCTATGTATGGAGTCTGGCTCCACCACTTCTTCGTCGAGGTCATTCTACTTCCCGACTACCCTGTCACTGAAGAAACACTTACTGACATCTCTTTGACTCATTTGTGCCTTTAATTTCCAATTGTGCCCCCAAGTGCCTGTTTCCCGTCTCTCAAACAGCCTGTTCCTGTTTGGCCTATTAATTTCTCTGAGTATTTTGTATGTTCTATGTCTACCATGGTCCTTCTGCCCTCCAGGGTCATTAGATTCAGTTTTCTTTAACCTTACCTCGTAGTCTCGTTGCATACTTCTACACTTTCTCCAGTTTTTTAACATGTTTCCTCAGGTGGGCGTTCCATACTGGTGCTGCTTACTCGAAGATAAACCCGACATATATTGTCTAAAGCTCCCGGAATAACTCTTTGTTGAAACTCCACTCACAAATTTGCCAGGCGAGCATTGGATGCAGAGGTTTTTCGGTTGGTGTAAGCCTTTGGCGATATGATAGACACTAAGCTTACTTACCCCCAGGTCCTTTGAATGTGGTCTGCGGCCTCTGTCCCCCGAGTCTATACTCTGTGTCCGATTTTCTGGCCGCTTCTCCAGTTTTCACAATAATGTAGTTACTGGAGACAAATTCAAACAACCTCTTATTGGATCAACCCCACAGTTTGCCCAGACCTTTTGCAGCCTTTCCCCTTCCTCATGCTTGTTTTCTCCTCATTAATTTCAGATTCTCAGGAAATAGAGATACATCTGTCACAATTCCATCTAGTATGTCATTCACATACGGCAGAAACAGCACTGGTCCTAATACCACTCCTATGGTACACCGCTCTTTACTCTTCGCCATTCTGACATCTCTTCCCGATCAATCACTCTTTGATTCCTGTCCTTAAGGGACACCTTGATCCACTGGAGAACGTTCCCATTTAGTCCTGCCTGCCTCTCAATTTTTTTTCCTAAGTCTCGTGTGGGGGTACGGTATCAACTGCCTTCTTGCAATCCAAGAAAATGCAATCCGCCCAACCCTCAGTGTATGTCTGTGTGTGTGTGTGTGTGTGTGTGTGTGTGTGTACTCACCTAACTGTGGTTGCAGGGGTCGAGACTCACCTCCTGGCCCCGCCTCTTCACTGATCGCTACTGGGTCCTCTCTCTCTCTGCTTCCTGAGCTTTGTCATACCTCTTCTTAAAACTATGTATGGTTCCTGCCTCCACTACTTTACTTGCTAGGCTATTCCACTTGCTGACAACTCTATGACTGAAGAAATACTTCCTAACGTTCCTGTGACTCGTCTGAGTCTTCAGCTTCCAGTTGTGACCCCTTGTCCCTGTGTCCCCTCTCTGGAACATCCTATCTCTGTCCACCCTGTCTATTCCCCGCAGTATCTTGTATGTCGTTATCATGTCTCCCCTGACCCTTCTGTCCTCCTCGTACGACATTCCCTTGAGCTCTGGGTCTAGCCTTGTTGCAAACCTTTGTACTTTCTCTAACTTCCTGACGTGCTTGACCAGGTGTGGGTTCCAGACTGGTGTTGCATACTCCAGTATGGGCCTAACATACACAGTGTACAGTGTCTTGAACGATTCCTTATTAAGGTATCGGAACGCTATTCTCAGGTTTGCCAGGCGCCCGTTTGCTGCAGCGGTTATTTGGTTGATGTGTGCCTCCGGTGATGTGCTCGGTGTTATGGTCTCCCCAAGGTCTTTCTCCCTGAGTGAGGTCTGTAGTCTTTGTCCACCTAGCCTATACTCTGTCTGCGGTCTTCTTTGCCCCTCCCCAATCTTCATGACTTTGCATTTGGCTGGATTGAATTCGAGAAGCCAGTTACTGGACCACATGTCCAGCCTGTCCAGGTCTCGTTGCAGTCCTGTCTCATCCTCGTCCGATTTAATTCTTCTCATCAACTTCACGTCATCTGCGAACAGGGACACTTCAGAGTCTATTCCTTCCATCATGTTCACATATATCAAAAATAGCACTGGTCCTAGAACTGACCCCTGTGGGACCCCCGCTCGTAACAGGCGCCCACTGTGATACCTCTTCACGTACCATGACTCGTTGCTGCCTCCCTGTCAGGTATTCCCTTATCCATTGCAGTGCCCTTCCTTTTACATGCGCCTGATCCTCCAGCTTCTGCACTAATCTCTTGTGGGGAACTGTGTCAAAGGCCTTCCTGCAGTCTAGAAAACGCAATCTACCCACCCCTCTCTCTCGTGTCTTACTTCTGTTACCTTGTCATAAAACTCCAGGAGGTTTGTGATACAAGATTTGCCTTCCATGAACCCATGCTGGTTTTCATTTATAATCTTGTTCCTTTCCAGGTGTTCGACCACTCTCCTCCTGATAATCTTCTCCATGACTTTGCACACAATACATGTCAGAGACACAGGTCTGTAGTTTAGTGCCTCGTTTCTGTTTCCTCGTGTGTGTGTGTGTGTGTGTATGTGTGTGTGTGTGTGTGTGTGTGTGTGTGTGTGTATTTAGCTCGATTTCGCAGAACTGGAACTGCGGCACTCTCCCCTACTTCACATAACACTCTCGCGCGGTTTATGTACAGCAGGATGAAAGCTATGGTTGAATGAATGCATTTAAAAGGGGTTATTCCGTTCATATTTAATTAATGCATTGTAAAAATGCACTTCATATTACAAAAAATTACTTTGTTTATATTGCATGAATTAATTAATTGTGATTTGGCGTCCTCTGCTACATGTACTAATGGTTATCCGTCATGGAGGAGAGGGAAAGAGGGGAGAGAAATAACTGAAACAAGGGAAAAGAAGGGAAGAGATAAAGGGAGAGAGTGGGAAAATAGAAGAGGGAGAGAGATACACTACAAGAGAAGATATACAGACGGCAATAGAGGAGTGAAAGGAATGACTGGGAAGGAAAGGGGCAAGTTTTGAACCTTACAAAAGGATAACTTTCCTTTAAATTGAGAATCTTTCAAATTTTTATTATATCCATAGGAATAATGCACAACATACATACCTAAAAACATTTCGTATTGGAAAATTGTGGGTGTATGTGTACCCACGTAATTATTGTCACCTATTTCACGTATTTGGTGTTGTAAGGGTCGAGTCTCAGCTCCATATCCTGCCTCTTAACTTGCCAGTTGCTTAGATTACTATGTCCGGGAAAGCGTTGAACCCGCAGTTGGTCACATAGTGCCAGGGAAACAGAAAGTAGTCGCGTTTTATCAGAGGAAGAGAAGGATTTACTACCCTTCCTCGAGGACAAGAGCCCCTCACAAGCATTAATGCTCTTTTCCTTACGAATAAAAACGTAAAATAAACAAACGGAACATGTTTTGCTTCATAAGTGTCTAAGAAGTCCTCGTAGACGATATATTAAGATATACGTATATTTTCGCCCTTCACTGGGTATATACGCTGAGAAGCTTCTATCTATTGGGTCATATACACTGAAAAGGATCCCAGAAGGGGATCGAAATATACAGACCATTAATCTACCGAGTTTCTGTCTCCATGTGAGTTATTATTGAGCAATGACAAATGTTCATTACACTTTATTCATCCACTGAGAGCTTACTTTAACAACTTGATGGGAATGAAGTATTCTTAAATGTAGTGTTGCGGGTTATGTATTTCACTGAATATATGCTGAGAGTTTACTTTAATCCCTAGTTTAATATCAAAGTATTCGTGACTAGTAGTGTAAACGCTACTTGTAGCTCGAATTACCCTCATGATGTTGATAAACTTTAAATACAATAAGCCAAATAACTCACCTGATACATGGTTCCTCTGAACTGCAGCCTTAAATAACCCAGGTGATCTCTCTGGGCTGTAAATCATTGAGCAATGAAGAAGCTCTCAAATTTTATCCAGTAAGATTATATATAAATATTTCTCTCTCGGTAGGAAGTAGTACAAGAATCATCTTTTGCTTCCACTATATTTCAGTGTTGTCAAAATCGTGCGTCCCGGGGCATAATTCTGCAGCGACTAGCGATAAAACACTATGGTGCGGCAAGCGTATTTAATTTTTCTCTCTGATGATTTGCAGTCGTTTCCTCTTTGATGTTTTTTGGCACCAAGTGATTAATTCTCTGCAAGAAATGTTTATCCAATGTTTGATATTCATTGTGTAAGCTGTTGACAGCCAATGAACTATATAAAGGGTTTAGTTCATAATGAACTTCCTGGGTTGAATGTGACGTTCGGCAATTATATATCCTGCGACTGTTTTTGTGTTCACTCTGTCCTCACACGACGTGTTGATTGGTGTATCAGGTTTAATTCTGTCAGTTACATGATATTATAAGCAATAAAATAAAGATTAGAGCAAACTCTCAGTGCATATGCACTGATATATATATCTCTCTAGGTATATATAACCTTCCCAGAATAAAACACAGAACGGGTGAGGGTCGAACCGATGGCAGGCGAGTCTTAAAACTAAGAGGCCAATG